TCGTTGCAAATGGCAAGATCTCATTCCTTTTGATGGCTGCATAATATTCCATTGCATAATACATGTCTTTTCACAGCATAAAGACTGGAGTTGCAAACATAATATTTTGCCAATATAAACTGAAATTACTTTTAAAATATGAAAAAAAAAGAAATAATCCCTTGGAATCAATTTACTCTATTCAAAATAACATAAGTTTTGGGTCATGCACAGTCCATAGAGCTAAAAGTACCAGCAAGATACTCTCTTTGTTTCTAGGGAATAATAGTATGAAAAGCAGGAAGATGAAACCAAAAGTATGTATCTAGAAAATAAATCTAATTACTATGATGGCCAAATGGACACTGAACTTACAATAGATTACGTTAGTTTTGAAGACTCAGGGAAACCCACAGACTAGGATCAGAGTCTGGCTAACATCCTCATGAGTAGGTTTCCTCCAATTTTTAAGAGTGCATCTGACCCTCTGGCCATAGTTTTGAAACTCTTTCAACTTCTCTCTTCCCTAATTTGCCCCACCAAGCCCGTGACAGAAGCATATCAATCCATCACTCTTTACCCAAGTCACCTAGGTGGATATACTGGCATTAACCATGTGTATGTAATCTTCACTCACAAAATAACAAGTGCCCTTAGCCAGAACCACCTTTCAGCAGTCCCCATGACAAGTATCTTGAGCACTCAGTATACAGTGAGTGCTCAGTAAGGTCTCCTCACTGAGTGAAGGAATAGCCCCTAATTCTCATCCCCCTCCCAGCAGATACATGCAGGCTTAGCAAGACAGTAAGAGTCACCCTCTGCCATGCCTTCATCATCACCACTCTAGTGAGGATCACCTCATCTCATCTCATTCATTCACTGGACAACAAAGTTCTGAATGCTTATTATTTTTCAGGCACTGTTCTAGCAATGAACAAAAAGAATTAGAGGTCCTTGTTCTAATGAATCTTACATTCTAGTGGAAAGAGATAAAAAATTGGTAAGATACCCATAACACTACATTAGCTGGTAAAGTGTTAGGGAGAAAAATAAAGTAGGAAAGGAGAAAATGGTGTGTGGAGGGTGAGGGTAAAGTTAAGCAGGATGGATAGTGAAGGCCCATGGAGAAGTTGTCCCTTAAGACCAAAAAGAGGTAAAGGAGAAAGCCATGTGGATATTTAGAAGAGTGTTTTCAACAGAAAACACCAAGAAAGAAAGACTCAGAGGCACAAATGTGTCTGGCACATGTTTAGAGAAGAGCAAGGAGTCTATGCTGGGGAGGACGGAGCAAGGAGTAGAGGAGTATGCAGTGAGGCAGGCGGATCTCAGGCCAATTTCAGGCCATTACAGGAAGGCTGCCTTTTATTCTGCATGAGAGAGGAAAGCCCTCAAGGACTGGGAGCAGATGAGAAACATGAATGGAGGCAGGAGTAAATGGATATTATGGCTGCTGTGTTAAGGAATGACCTACAGGAGTCAAGGTTGGAAATGGTGAGACAATAATCCAGGCAAGAGATAATGATGTGGACCAACGTGGGGATGGTGAAAGTTGGTAAAGATTGGTTGCTTCCTGGATACATCTGGAGATTGAGATGATAGAGGAGACATTGAGTATGAGATGATTTGAGCAAGACTCCAGAACTTTTGGCTTAAAAAATCAAAAGTATGGAGTTGCTATTAGCTGAGATGAAGAAGACTTTTGGAGGTGCAGGCTTTGTGGAAGCAGATCAGGATTCTGATATGTTAAGTTTGAGATGTCTGTTAGGCTGAGATGTTGAGTAGGCAGTTGTATATAGAAGGCTGAAGTTCCAGGGGGTGGTCAGGACTGGAGATTGAACTGGTACTTTAATTTCTGTACACTTCTGCCAAATTCACCTTCCAAAGCTCTGTTTTCACCCTATCATTTCCCTAATTAAACACTTTCAGGGATCCACTAACTGGAGGGTGGGCTTCTAACATGTTCTGTGACCCATGCAAGATTTAAGGTGATTTGAACTATTTGCCAACAGTTATAAATTGGACGATCTCTAGGGGCGCCTGGGTGGCTCAGTCGGTTAAGCCTCTGACTCTTGGTTTTGACTCAGGTCATGATTTCATGGGTTGTGGGATTGACCTGGTGTCAGACTCTGAGTTCAAAGGAGAGTCTGCTTGAGATTCTCTCCCTCTGCCCCTCCCCCCACGCACTCGTGCATTCTCGCTCTCTCTCAAATAAATAAATCTTTTTAAAAAATTGGAAGATCTCTAATAAGACAGATATTGGAAAGTCTTGAAAACTCAGAGCATTTAGAATTACAAGGTCCACATCATATGAGTCATGTTTAGGATGTAGTTCAGTTGAGCTGACTAGTACCAAATACCCGATTTTAAAGGGAAAATAATTTGCTCAGATGCCATTCCTTTTGCATTGTCGTATACCATGAAAACACTGCCTTAAATTTAAATGTGTTTAACTGCATCCATTTAATAAAAATAACTCTAACAAAATATTTTGAATTTAATGAAATTGATATTATTTTATTTTAAAGAAACCGTTGCTACTGATCCATTTTTCTTATGGCTCTTATAGGCTCTTACAAATGATGACTTAGGATCCCACGTTTCTTTATTTTTGCATCAAAATACTCTTTGACACATTGGGCTTGTTCTAGTATATCCACCTACCTGCAAGTAAAGTATTATAGAGAAACAAAATGTGAGCCAGGATTGTGGGGAAGCTGTGTTCCCATTTCCTAGAGAAACAGGGAGCAGTAGCTTGGGTGGTCCTAAATTGGAACATATTTTTCAGAGAGAAACTCATCAAAAGATGAGTAAGAGCTTGCCAGGTAGAGAAGAGTTCATTTACTTTACCCTCTGTGCTTCTAAGGGATTTTCAAAGTTGTACACCTTGATCTGCAAGTTAAAGACAAATCCTCAGACTGAGGTCAAGATCCTACCCAAAACTGTGCCTTGTCTGGCTCTCCTTCTAAGTTCTGCTTCTTGCTTTCATTCACACTCATTCCATGGCACCCTCCACTCCCACTGGAATAGACCATTCCCTTACTGTCTACCTAACTAAATCCTAACTATTCTTCAAGGTTGTACCAAGCCCTACCTTCTTGGAGCTTTCTGACTAACTTGGCCCCACAGTCAACTCTTTCCTCCATTGTACTCACCTAGCACTGACTGTATCATTTGCTCACCCACTTATGCAGGCCCTCCCTGCCTTGGACTGCTTTTTATGTGCTGCAGATCTCTGCAGCCTATGTCCCTGATTGCACTGAGCCTCCTTGAGTCCACTGTTGAATTACTCAAGTGCTGTTCCCTTATGTCTCCATAGCACACACACTCTGAGATGTCCTTGGCTACGCTCACAATGAACTTGCATGGTAGAAGGGGACTATAATACAAGTACTTGTTATGTAATGAAACAACAACTAA